TCCCGCCCACGACACGCAGGTCAGAAAGTACCAGAGATCCCACAGCCTTCGGGGACCTCCTCCCGACCTGGCAGCCCGACGGCTTCGGGCCCGAGGCTTTGGAGTCCCCACAGCCTTGGCCGGAGCCTGGCTCTAGGTCTGTGCCCGTGTGACTCCTGAGCCTCAGTGTCCGCACCTGCTCGAGGGGGACACCAACCCCGCCCACGAGAGGCTGCCCTGCGTGACGCCCGGTGTAAAGCGGCCGGCCCTTCGCTAGCACCGTCTGCTGGGTTCACACGACGTGTGCCTGCTGACGCCCACCCGGGGCCCGGGCTCCAGCCGGACACTGACGGGAGACTCGGCCACCTGCCCGAAGCCGCGAAAACCGGGACTGGGCCTTACTCCCCGCTGCCCACCACAGCGACCTGACCGCCCCTCCAGGCCCCTCCAGCTCCTCAGGGTCAGGGCTGAACCTCTGGGCTACGCTGGCTCCAGGGGGCCTGAAGGCAGATGTCTACAGGGCACAGGCCGGCCCCGACCCCAGGCTGCCGCAGAGTTCCCACTCACACACGGAAGGGACGTGCATCCCCGCGGGCCTCCCCCAACTGCCCCTCGGAGGCCCAGCGAGCGGGTGGCCCAGGGAAGCCCGAGACGGGGCCGGGCGGGCCTGCCGGCTCCGCTCGCACTCACGGGGCACCCGGCAGGCCCGCGGAAACCTACTCTTGCCGCCTCATCCAGGGAGGGGACCACGTGGGGAGGTCCCCAAGGCCGAGGACATCCCCGCTCACAAGCAGACGTGATCTCCTCTGGCCGGGCCCCTCCCCGCTCCCACCGCCAGCCAAGCGCACACATTTCCACCCTCACAGGGACCAGCCTGACACCTGTCCTCTGGGCCCTGACGCCAGCCCCACGCCGCGCGCCTCCGACCGGTCACAGGGCCCCAGAGCCGACCTCCCGCTCCCATCGCTTCCAGCTGTGGGACCGGGAGTCTGCTCATCCTCTTTCGGGCCGATTCTTTGGCTGACGCCTCGGAGGGTCCGTGCGGACAGGGGGCTTGGGGTTCACGGCGGCCACGCAGGGCACCGCCGTCTCGCTCGTCCATCACCAGCCCGGAACCGCACCCTCAGAGCGGGGAGCTGCCTCAGGGGGCCCGGCCCTCTGCCCCGGGGCTCCAGCCGAGGCTGGGCCGGTCCCCAACGTCCGGGGCCAGGGAGCCTCCTTCTGGGAAGGCACCAGAAAACTCCCCGGCCGCCAGCGCTCTGAGGGGACGGAGGAGGAACTGTCAGGATGGGCGCCCCGCCCCCCAGCACGGGCTCCACGCGGGGACGGAGACGCACCTGCCCGGGCCGGGCCGGGACGCGTCCCGAGCTGGGAAGGACCCTCCTGCCGGCGGCCCACGAAGTCAGCCGCGAGGCGTCCCCGCTGCTGTCCTGGGGGAGCGCCCACCAGCCCGTGACTCGGCCAGACCAGCAGGTTCCACTGTCCCCACCCAAGGGGACAGCAGCCCCAGCAGCCACCGCCTCGGCTTCGGGACGTCCCCGAGCTGCCCCACATTCCTCCCTGGTGAGAGCACAGGCGCCCTGCGGGGCTGCAGGGAAAAGGTCCCTCGCCAGAGCGCTCGGCCCCCGCTGCTGCACCCTGGACGGCCCGCGGGACGTGGGGGGGGCGTGGGCCGCTCAGGGAGCCGCGGTTCAGGGGCCCCGCCCCACCCGTGCCGGGGCAGCGAGGGCTCGGGAGGGGCGGCCAGCTCAA